ACCCCCCCCCCCCCCACTGCAGTACTTGGCCTCATGGGCTCCGACTGGCTCAAGTTCTCCTTCCCCGACGGCCAGTTCCTCCACGCCGGTCTGGCCAAGTCGTGCTACCGCGGCGCATGGTACGCCAGCCCCCCCCCGCCCTCCCCGCCCTCCCCCTCAACCCCCCTCAACCCCCCCCCCCACTCACTTGCTCTCCATATCAGTGACTCGAATGCCAACCTGCACAAGACCTCGTTCGAGTCGTTCCCCTGTCTCAGCCGGCTGAATGTCTCGGGCATGTTTGCGATGATCCTGTATGTCATCTCGATGCTGTTTGCGGGCTTGTCGCTGCTGGCGGCATCGGCCATTGCAGGCTGCTATCAGAGCTCCAAGAAGGTCTCCAAGTATGCGCTTCTGTTCTCGGTCGGTGCTTGGGTCTTCTCCTTTCTCGCCTGGGTCGTCTTTGCCACCCTGGTCGCCGGCAATGAGCGGTGCTCCATGGGCTCAAAGGGAGTGTACTACGTCACCTCGATCATGGGCTCGTTCTTCCAGCTCTTCTCCTCGGTCCTCATCGCCCTCCATTGGGGCATGCTCGCCCGCGGCTCGCACCGCAGCGGCAGCGGCGGCTACGTCCCGCACACCTCAGACTCGATGGCCCCGCCCGCAGGCATCAACAGCTCTGCAGCAGATCCCGGCTACTCGTCGGTGCCCGACGACAACCCGTTTGCCGCCTCGCGTCCACCAGCATCCAAGCCGCGCGCCGGCGGCTACGGTACCACCGTGTCAGACTCACCCTTTGACTAACCCGTAGTTGCGCGCATCGAAAGTGAACAGCACACTCTATGAGTTAGGTGGGCGCGCTAGCCATCCAGATTACAATTTGTGTTCACTTGATCACCCGCGCAGCGCCTTCAGCCGCTGCAGGCGCGACTTGAGCGAGTCGAGCTTGGCCGCAGCCTCTTCCGACGACGCCTTCTTGGCCGCCGGTTCGGCCTCGGCCCGGCCTGCCGCCACAGCGACATTCTCCTTGGCGTCCGGCCCGACCGCAGCTGGTGCCGCCGCCACAGGCTTGGCCTTCACCGCGACGAGCTGGGTCTTGGGCTCGATGTTGAACTTGGACTGCAACCGCCGCAGCCGTGCAACGTACGCGTTCTCCTCGGGCGCAGCCGCTGGTGCTGCATCACCGGGTGCGGCCTTGGCCTCGGCACTGACGTTGGCGCGAGGAGCGACCGGGGCAGGCACCGCTGCCGGCGCAGCTGCCGCCGCCACTGCCGCCGCCGCAACCTCAGGGTTCTTCCGCTCGAGCTCGACCTGCGCGAGTCCGTTGGCCACAAACGCACGGAAGGTCTCCGACTTTGTCGCAAGGAACGGCTCGAGGTCAAAGTCGGCGTACTTGACCTGAAAGTCGGCGAGCTGGCGGAATGCCTCGCGGGTCTCGGCGTCATCGCCGCTCAGCTTCTTGACAATCGAGAGGAGCGAGCGGCGAGCCTCAGGCGTGGTTGATCCGAACGAGTTGCGCTTGCGCGACGCCTTGGGTGACGTCGGCGTCTGCGGCTCCGCGCGGACCGACCGTGCCGGCTTCTTGATTGAGGAGCGCGCCTTAGGCTCGCGCAGGCCCGACTTGGTCGACTTCTTTCGCGACGTGCTTGGCCGCTTGAGTGACTTCTTCTTCAGCGACTTCTTGAATGACTTGCGGAGGCGAGAGCCCGACGACGACTTCTTCTTCGACGACGCCACCTGGCCACGGGAGGCGAGAACAGGCGACGTCGCCGATGCAGTCGCCGCCGGCACCGCCGCGGGCGCCGGCGTCAGTGCAGGCGCTGCCGCCTGCGGCGTTTCGACCACCGGCGTCGGCGCGGCGCTCGAAGACGCCATGGCGATCGACTCGATGAGCTCGAGCACAAAGTCGGCGCCCGCGAGCGTTGAACCGTTGTGGACGTACTCGCGCGCCGCATCCGCTCCGCGCTCGCGCACAAGTTCCATCACAATGATCTTGAGCACTTTCAGCGGCGCTGCCGCCTCGGTGTCATCCCACTTGCTGCGCGGATGGGTCGTGAAGAGCCGCGCCATGGCGCCGGTCACCTCGGCCCAGTCGACGCCCTTGAGCGACCGCGCCTGACGCAGCAGCGACTTGCACACCAGCTCGACGTAGGCGTCGGGCGCGTACGAACCGGCCGCAGTCCGGAACAGGTTCGCCTCGAGCGCCCCGAGCAGAAGCACCACCACCGGCGTCCGTGCGCACGACGACATGACGTTGAGCATGAGCATGTTGAGCCCGAGGTGGATCGACTTGCCCTCCTCGGACGCCTTCAGCGGCTCGTCGATGAGCCGCACCACCAGCTCGTGCAGAACCTGCTGAAGCGTCGCAGATGACAGCCGCAGCACCAGGCTTGACTTGGAGAAGACCTGCATCAAGCCATGGAGCACGTGCTTGGCGTGTCGGACCTGGAGCGGCTGGATGGCAAAGTGCAGCTGGAGCACCAGGTTAGCCACGATAACGTCGATATGGGGCTCAATGACATCCACCGAGTTCTCCAGCGCATCCAAAAGCGCCTCCACCGCCGCCACGGCGCCAGCTTCGGTCCCCTTCTTCAGTTCCGCCTCGACCTTGGCCACAATCGACTGCTCAGCCTCAGCCGCGACTTCAGCCTGGGTTGTGACTGCAGTCGTGGCTTCAGCTTCGGGCTTTGTCACGGGCTCGGCAGCAGGGGCGTCAGCATGGGCGACGACAGGAGCGACAGCGGGCTCGACAGCTGGGGCGACAGCAGGGGCGACAGAAGGCTTGGCCTTGACCAGCACTGGCTCGGCCTCGACAACCTCCGGCTCTGGCGCAGCCACACCCGAATGCTTGATCCGCTCCTTGAGCAGCTCGGTCGAGGCCCGCGGGAGCTTCTTGCCGAGCATGGCAAAGAGCTTGTCACCAACCATGGCGTACGTTGCCATAAAGACAGAGATTGCAGCCTCGCGAACGTTGGCGTCCGACTCGGCAAGGCGGGCACCGAGGGCGGGGAAAACCTTGCTCACGTTGCAAACGTCGAGCCCGTTCGCCGAGATGAGTCGGCCGAGCTCGTCGATGGCCTCGACCCGCAGCCGCCAGTTCTTGCTCTTGGTTCCCGCAAAGACAAGCGCAAAGATGCGCGACGCCGGGTAGATGTGACGCAGTGTGCGGAAGAGACCGCGCGTTGTCGCCCGGATCGGATCCTTCGAGTCGCCCAGCATTTCGACGAGCGAAGGGAGAAAGACTGAGGCGGAAAACTCGTCCAGCCGCTTGCCAATCGTCTCCAGCTTACCAAAGAGCGCCTCAACAAACGAGAGCGCCTTGAGCGTCACCGAGGTGTTTGAGTTACCGAGTCGGAGTGAGACCCAGCGGAGAGCGAGATCGAGGTTAGCCATGAGTGCCTCAAACTCGTTGGCCAGCGCGCCCTCCATGAGTGCAAAGGCCTTGTTGTGCGAGTTAAAGTCCGAAGCAAGCCACAGATCCAGCAGCGCAGGCGCCACAGCATCCATTGACTCCTCCTGCAGCCGCTCGACGAGCTCCGGCACAGACCGATTGGCGACCACCCACTTGCGCGACCGGTTCTTCTTGGCGCGGCTTGCCATCCGCCCGGCAGTCCCCACAAACAGCGCCGAGTTGGCCTTGCTTCCACTCGCGCCGCTGGCCTTGGCTCCAGCGGACGTCGCCGGTCGCTTCATGCTCTTCTTGCGAGTTCCCGGCTTGCGCGACTTGGCGCGCTTGGGAGCCTTGGTCGATTTTTTGTGTCCATGGCTCGACGCCGGCGCGGCGGCCTTGGCCGGAGGCGGCGCGCTTGCCGGTGCGCTCGAGCTCGGCTTAACACCCTGGAACGGGGTAAGCATGGCCATGACAGAGATCTTGTCAGCCTTCTTGAGCTTCTCGGTTAGGCCCTTGAACTTGCCAAACGAGTAGCGCGGCACCATCGTGGCCAGCATGGCTTCGGTGTGCTTGCGAACCTTGGGATCGCGCGCGAGGCAGGCCTTGACCAAGCCCGGAGCCAGCGGCCACGCGTCGACCGACGGGTGCTCCAGCGCAGGCAGGTACTGCACAAGAAATGACGCGCTCTCGAGGGCAGCGGTCATGTTCGCGTCCGCAAGTGCGCCAGAGAGAACCGGCAGGCACTCCTCGATGCCAGCCACCTCGACAATGGCGGCCAGGAGCCGTCCGGCCGCGGCGCGGACCGTCGTCTTCTTGTCGGCAAACAGCTTCGCCGCGCATGCGGTCCCCAGCCGCGCGTACTTGCCGCCGTTGCGGCCCATGGCGGCAAAGAGCTCGGCCATGAGATCAGCAGCCACAATGGTGAGGTTCTTGTTGGCGTCGGCGAAGCGGCCCTTGAGGGCGCCCATGATGGAGTCGACGTTGGCCACAATGTGCGAGCCAGATGCCTTGACCTCCTTGGCCACAGTCTCCATCGCCTCTTTCCGGGTCTTCCACGACTTGTCGCCCATCGCCTTGAGGACAGACTCCTTGATCTTGCTCGCAATGTCGACTCGCGGCATGTACTCGTCTTCGACCGGCGCCTCGCCAAGCACGCCCGGCACTGCAGCCAGCACCGGAGGGCTGCTCGCCCGGGCAGAATCGCCAGCCGCAGCAGCGCAAGCAGCACCACCGCCAACCGCAACCGCAGCCGGGGCCGCACTTGGCATCGGCACCGGCGGCGGCTCACGCCGGTAGAACCGGACCGGGAGCGGGGCGGTTGTTGCGACACCGGTGGCGACCGAGTCGGCAATCGACGCCTGCAATGAAGGCTTGACATCGGCGAACATGAGGCCGATCGACTTCCCGGCGGTCGGCGCTAGCGAGCCGATAAGCGCCACCGCAGCAGCGCGAACTTTGGCGTTCGAGGACTTGAGCATTGACTTGATGAATGCCACCGTGTCCTTGACACGGATCGTCCGCGCTCCGCCAAACTCGGTCACCGCCGCGGCCATCCACACCAAGGCCGCCTCCTGAATCTTGGGCGACTTCAGCGACGGCATGGCCTTGTGCATGAGAGCAAAGACAAAGTCGAGCGAGAGCGCCTCGGCCAGGTTGAGCAACGCGTCCTCGGCAGGCTTGGTCAGCTTGCGGTCGCCGAGCTTTGAAGTGAGGCCAGCGACCACCGCCGAGCCTGCAGACTTGTTGAAGGCGAGGCACTCTGTGGCAATGTAGCCGACGAGGTTAGCCATGGCGGTCACAACCTGGAAGTTCGAGTCCGAGAACGAGGGGTTCTTTGCCATCAAGCGCACCAGTGCCTCGCCGGTCTCGCCGTCGATCGGCGAGCCGAGACCTTCAACAAAGCCGCGGAGTGCTTCCATCCCGGCCTTGCGCTCCTTCCATCCCTTGGCCGCGAGCTGGGTGAGGATAGCGCCAGGCACAAGGCCCTCGGCCCGGGCAATGGCCAGCTCGGGCGGGAGCGGGTTCGACATCTCCACAGACACAACCTCATACGGGGCGACGACAGGGGCTGCAGCCGGCGCTGCCGCAACACGTGGCGCCGCAGCCGGCACTGCCGTTGACGACGCGGCTGCAGCTGCAGGGCGGGCCCGCACCGCTGGAGCTGCAGCAGCTGCGGGAGCGGGAGCGGGAGCGGGAGCGGGAGCCGAAGCTGCGGCGTTGAGAGCAAGGATCGCGTCCTTGCGAGCCGGCTTGAGCGAGTCGAGGAAGCCGCGGGTGGCGCGATCAGGGAGAGCCAGAACAATGGCGGCGACGGCGGCGTTGGCGGTGTCACGAACAGCAGAATCGCGGGCCTCGGTCAGGCCGCGAAGAGCCTCCAGCGTCGGCTTAAGCGACGGAGGCGGGAGCGAGGCTCCTCGTGACATGCCAGCAGCAATAGTTTTGGCGACAGCCATGCCGACGTTGGGGTTCTTGTCGCCAGCAGACTCGACAAGAATCTCAAGCACGGTCTCCTCGATGGTGAGGGAGCCGGCGAGCGTGGCGAGCGCGCCGTCGAGCGCGGCGCGGACCGAAGCCTTCTTCTCCTTGGAGCGAGCAAGGAGCGGGCGGAGGAGCCCAGTGGCGTAGCAGCGAATGGCATTGGGCGTGGTAGCCAGGCCAGCAGCGACAAGCTCTATGACGTTGGCAGCCTTGGCGACAACAAACACGTTCTTGTCGGCTGCAACGAGGCTCGCACATTTTTCGAGCAGCGGGCCGTAATGACCCGACTCGTCGTACCGGCCGGCGCCCTCGAGGATCTTGATGTAGCCCTCGAGGGCGTCCTTGCGGTCTTTCCACTTGGGCGCGTCGAGCGGCGCCACAGGATCGGCCGGAAACGCGGCCATGATGTCGACGGCCTCTTCCAGAACGACCGGCGTCGGAGTGACAGCGGTAGCAGGCACGGGAGCGGAAGCGGCGCCAATGGGAGCGGCGCCAGCTGTCGCTGACACGGCCGCCGCGGCAGGAGCAAGAGCGGCCGGTGGCGGCTCCTGGCCGCGAAAGAACATGCAAGGCGCCGGAGCTGCGGCAGGGCGCTCGGCTAGAAAGGCCTCGACTTCGTCGAGCTGAGCCTGGCGAAGCGAGTTGTTGAGCACGCGCTGGATGGCAGGGCCGACGACCCGCTTGAGCGAGGCCGCGAGCTCGAGCGCCTCCTTGCGGACCGGGCGAGCGGCGTGCGAGAAGAGCGGCGCAACGGCCTTGAGGATGTCGCCGATGGCAAAGGTGACGCGGCCAAAGGCGAGCACGGCGTCCTTGACCGCAATAACGGCGGCCTCGACAACCTTGGGTGTCTTGTGGGTAAAGCCCTTGGTGAGGACAATCTCGACGACAGCCTCGAGGACCTCGGGCCCAGCGGTGAGGGCGTCGAGGAGAGCAGACTTGGCAGGCTCGACACAGCGCTTCGACTTGAATGCGGTGGAAACAATGCCTGCAGTGATGTCTGCGGCGTAGCCACGGGCCACTGCAAGCCCTGCGGTACGGAAGAAGGCGGCTGCGGCGTTCACGCCCTCCTTGCGCGCCATCTCGTTCGAGTCGGCCACAGCCTTGACCAGCGCGGGTGCAAACTGGCTGTAAACCGGATCCGAGTCATCGGCAGCGGCCTCAAACGCCTTAGCAAGCTCCGCGTATGCGTCGCGGCGGGTTGACCACTTGCTCGCACTCAGCGAGCTCTCAAGGTCGGACGCGGCCATGGTGGTGCTGTCCGAAAACTTGAATTTTTGCTGGGGCGCGCCAAATGTCCTGACGCAGCGCCACGTTCACACGTCCGAGGGGGAAGAGACCGAGAACGAAAGGGAGGAGGGAGAGATAGGGAGGCTACACAGAGCGGAATGTAGGTGTGTATGGCTTCAGACCGAGGAAGGGAGGAGTCGGGATGGGTCCTGGTCGGTGGTGTGTCAAGGTGAGGTGAGGTGGCTCTGCCCGCGTTTGTTTGGAAGGGAGGAAGCTTCGGGTTTGACGGCCTTTTCCTGTCGGCCGGCCGGGAGCAGTCCACCTGGCGCTCGATCGGACACTTGCCGGGAGTGCGGGCGCGGGCGCCACACTCAACTTGGGCTTGTAGAGGTAATGCTGCGGCACCCGCGACAGCTCAAGTCTCTGCGCAAAGCGGTGTCCGAGTCGCAGCTGCGGACGCTGGTGGTGACGCGGTCGGCGTCGCCGGTGGATGCTGCCGGCGATGGGGGCGGAAGCGGCGGGAACGGTGCCGGCGGGCGCAGTCGAGGACGGTCGTCAAGCGGCGGGGCGGACGATGGGCTCGGCGGGCTCGGAGGAGAGAGCATGTGCCTGGGGAGCGCAAGCCGGCTTGGAGAGGTGGCCAACGGGACGATTGTGGTGCAGCTGCTGTGCGGGACGGCGCTGGCACCCAAGGACAAGACCGGCACGTCGGATCCTTTTGTGGGCGTGTGGTGCGTGCCGGCCGGGGCATGGCCGCCTGGTACGGCGCCAAGTTCGCGATCGGCAGACGCGGCAGCACTGGATGCGGCCGCGTATGGCAAGCCGGTCTACACTGACGTGGCGTGGCGGAATCTGAATCCGACATGGCGACAGGCACGGTTCGAGCTCCCGCTCGTCGACGCCAGCGACGTGCTTGTCTTTCGGGTCTTTGACAAGGACCGGATCGGGCGGTCGGACTTTATGGGCGAGGCGATGCTGCCTGTAGCTGCGGCACTGCGGCACGCCAAGCCGCGGCACGCAGTGCTTGCGCTCGCGCAGCGAGGCTTTGCCTCGGAGGCGGTGTCGGGCCACATCGAGCTGGTGTTTGCGGCGATTCCTCCGGGCCGCGACACCCGCCGCATCACGTTGGACACACTGCTTGCGGCACGGCAGATGGACGTGGACGAGGTTGTTCTCCCACGCGAGTTTGAAGCCGAGCCGCGGTTTGAGGTCAGTGACGCGGGCGAAAAGCCTGGCCAGCTGCTACATGTACTGGAGAATCCGCACGAGTTGATGCGGTGGGTGACCGGAGCGGTTCGGGCTACGCCGGCGCGGACGCCAGATGTCTTTGTGTACTCGTCAGCCACTGAAGGCGTGCTGGCGGTGGCGGTGGTAGCGGAGGCGCTGCCGCTGTTTGGACACGTGTACTGGGTGGCTGTCTTCTCCAAGACCCAGATCTCGCGCCACACGTTTGAGGACGAGTCGCCAGAGGTACTGCCGTTTGACGCGGTGCTTGGAGCAGTTCGTCCGGAGCTTGCGGCTATTGCACCGTACTTTGCGCGGGTACCGCCGTCGGCGGCTGCCGGCCTCTCCACACTGCAAACGTTGGAGGCGTCGGATGCGGCGGCGAAGCGGGTGAAGATTGGAGTGCTGATTGCGCGCGAGGGTCAGACGTTGGAGAACGAGATGTACGCCAATTGCGATGCGACCGCAGCCGAGCGCGAGTTCCTCGAGCTCCTGGGCACGCGAGTCCGACTCAAGGGCTTTGACGGGTATGCAGCGCAGCTGGACACGACCAACGATGGCTCGGGCACGCATTCGTACTACCGGGCCGGCTTTGCTGGCTACGACATAATGTTCCACGTCTCGACGGAGCTGCAGTATGATGCAACCGATGCGCAGCACATCCAGCGGAAGCGGTTTATAGGCAACGACATTGTGGTCATTGTGTTTGTGGACGGGAGCACGCCGTTTCACGTCGACCGTATGACATCGCAGTACACTAACGTGGTCTTGGTTGTCCATCACGACGTGGCTTGCAACGGCTACCGGCTGACGGTGGTGCGCAAAAAGGGAGTGCAACCGTTTGTGCCGCTGCTCGCTACCTCGCAGGTGTACGCCAAGACAGAGGACTTTGCAACACTGCTGCTCACCAAGGCCATCAACGGCGAGACAGCGACGTTTGTCTCGACCGAGTTTGCCATCCGGGCGGCGCGGACACGGGCCAACTATCTCGACTCGATGCTCGATGCGTTGCGTGCCGACCACGACGCTGGGCCGCTTGTCGAGCGGATGCTGGCCCACAAGCTGCCGCGGCTGACGCGGTCGGGCCAGTCCACCCATGCACTGAGTGTGGTGAAGCCGGGCGATGTGGCATGCTCGATGCTCGGGGCGCTGGCGGCGGCAGAGCTTCCCAACCGGATTGTGGAGGCCCACCCGCTGCTCACCGAGTTTCCGTTTTTTGTGCGGTGCCTCTCAAGCGTGGTGGGGCGTAGGGGCGAGCGCGTGAAGCGCGTGCTGTTTGCGTCTGCCAAGGGCCTGTTTGTCAACGTGCTCGGGACGCGGTCGGTGACCAAGGTGTTGGACCTTGTGTTCATCGAGCAGATTCTGGTGTCGGAAGAGGCTGACTTGCTTGTGGTGCGAACGGGCGGGCGGCGGGCGGCTGTGCTTGCGTTTCCGCTGGTGGACCTCCTTGCTGGCCTGCAGTCGTCGACCATGTACGTGCCTGTGCAATCGCCGACGCTAGTGCGGCTCGGCGAGGTCGACGGAGTGGTCATGGTGTTTGTGGCGGCACGGACGCGGAAGCAGGGCAACGCCATTTCGATTTTTGCGCGTGAACCCGAGTCGGGCGAGATATTCCGGCTGGAGACACTGCATGTCGACGGAGTGGTGACGGCGCTCATGCCCACACGATCCGGGGTCCTGGTTGGCCTCTCGGCGCGGCCGCTGAGCAAGCCAGGCGGCGAGGGTTGCGATGCCGAGGCAAGTGCCAGCGACGATGTGGCAACGTTCTCGTTCTGGTCGTGGGAGCTGGCGCAGCGCGAGTTTGTGCCCAAGACCCTGCTACAGCGCGACGGCGAGCAGGCGGTGGCGGCGTTTAGCGGTTTACCCGAGGGCCGGGCTCTGCTGGCGTTTTCGAGTCACGCGCTGTTTGTCTCGGCCACCGGAGTTGTCGACACGAACTCCACACTCAAGTTTGGCTCTGCGCCGCTGCATCTTGCGTATGACAAGGAGATGGAGGTGATTGTGGCTTATCACGCCACTTACGTGGCGGTGTACGCTGCGGCATCGGGCGCGATTGTGGACATGCATCCGCTGCGGACGCTCGGTCGGTTTGGCTGCTCGGGCCCGCTCCTGCTCTCGCCGACCATGTCTGAGCTTGGCACGCCGGGCGTAGCGGAGCTTGTCATCCGTGGGAGCGACGCGCCAGCGTTGGCGGTCAAGGCCGAGCCCGCGTCGCCAACGCTGCGGCTGAGCGACTTGGCGGCGCCAATAGGCTTGGATGAGCTCGTTTCGAGCGCGGTCGGGATCGAGCAAGGCGCGTCGCGGGCGTCACTTCTCCGCGGCTCCATCGGTAGCTCGCTCAATGCCACCTTTGTCAATCATGACCACCTGGTTGTTCAACGCTCTTCACCGGTGCTGCGGGCGGTGCCGCTGGAGATGGCACTCGACGACGCCGCGGACGAGGACGACGAGCTTGTCGACGGCGACTCGTACAGCGGAGGGGACGTGGCAGACATATCGTCGCCGGTCGGGTCGATGGTCGGCGGCGGGAGTGGAATTTCAGGCGTGCCATCGCTCCATGCCATGGCGGTCTCGTATCTTCCGCGCGTGGCAACGCCTGTGGTGGTCAAGGACAAGCACGAGGGCCTCCATGCCATCCAGCGAGACCTCGCGTCTGTCCAACGGCGCCTGCTGGCACTGATACAAGTCATCGACAGGAATTCTAGCACAGAATAGTGAAGCGACAGATGCTCACATCGCTGTGACTTTTGGTGAGCGATGCCAGGCGAGCCTCTGAGGGCAGAGAGGAAGGGGGAGGGCGAGCGTAGTTAAAACTGGCACCACCTCTCGCCCTGGACGACTAAATTTCAGTGGCGCGCAACAAGTACGAATCGATGGGCGGGTGGCGGCGTGGGGCATGGGGGGGCGGGGGTTGGGGAAGTGGGCTCGTTTAGGCGGGAAGGGAATGAGGGTAGTGTAGGATGTGATGGGATGGGGGCAAGGGGATGGGGTGGAGGGGGAGACAGTGTGTGGAGGAGGCATGGCTGGGGGAGGGTGGGCGGGCGGGGAGGGGCGGGTGCCACCGCCAACCACCAACCACCAACCACCAGCACCGGCCTACGAGCAGGCATGGCATGGCGTGGTAGAAGCAGGGCAGACGGGTAGGCAGGGACTTACTTTTGTGGGGGGGGATGAGGAGGCCAAACAGGATGTGGAGTAGGCAGCTTACTACGGCTGCAGTGCTGGTGGTGGCGGTGGTGGCATCATTGGCGGTGGGGCAGAATGCGCCGCCGTCGCCACCGGTGTGCGGGGTGACGGCCGTGCTGGGCTCGGTGTACACAGGGCTGGGACAAGGGGTGTTCCAAGGCGAGGCCATGACGCTTGTGACTGCCGGGATGGATGTGTGGATGCTGCATGCCGGGACAACGGGCTCTGTCGCGTTTATGAAGGCGACGCCGTCGGCCTCGGCACCGGCCGACTTTGAGCTCGAGCACCTTGCGGCGATCCAGGGCGCGAGTGGCTCACCTACGCCTGCCGGAGTTGGGATGGATTGTGCGGTTGGCGCGAGTGGCAACTACTCGACGCTCTCGTCTGGTGATGACTGCTCGTGGTTCCGGGTGGTGCTGTCTGCGGACGAGTGCGCGGCGCGCGGCGAGGCGCTGACGCTGCGGTTCAACAAGCCGACGGCGAGTGCGCCGAGCCCTTCGCCTGGGGCGGCGTGCTCGCTGGCGCTGGGAGACACGTTTGTTGGCACTGCGTTTGGCGAGGCGGTGACACTGGTGCTTGGCCCCGGCGGAGCGACGACGCTCAACGGATCGACCAACGGGCTGTATCTGATGCACACATCGTTCTCGTCGGACGTGTCGACCATGACGGTGCGCGATGTGGCGGCACCGACTCCGGGCTCGTCGTTTGCGACGTGCAACTACACCGATTCCGGCTCGTACGACGTCACATGGAGCAGTGACTGCTCGACGATCACGCTGCGCGACGTGTCGGCCGACTCGTGCCCGCGAGTCCTCCTCCTCGACGCGCTGGAGCTGAAGCGGTACGATCCGACGCCCGCGGTGACCAAGCCGGCGCCGCGGCACGTCAAGACGCTTGGCTTTAACTCGACCAAGATCACTCGGGCCATCATTGTGCTTGCTTCGGTGAGCGGCTTTTGCCTCGCGCTCAACGTCTGCCTTGCGTCGGCGCGGAAGCGGTCGAGCCCTGAAGAGCGGTCGTCGCGGCCAGACCCGCTGATGGCTGCCATGGAAGAGAATGCAGTGTAAAGGAAAAAGGTGTATGGGCGGGAGCGTTTGCTGCAACGACTACAGGTCGTCGAGGAAGGCGTGCTCGTCGACGATAGAGTGGCGGGCAGTTGAGGCCTTTGTGGAGAGCGGCGAGCGGAGCGAGAGCATGAACTGGTCCTCGAGCTCGCGCTCACGGGCGCGAGCGCGGTCGCGATCGGAGGCGCGGAGCGAGGCGCGGGCGACGCGATCCATGGTCTCGCGCTTCTGTGAGTCGATGGCATGCTGGACGTCGGAGCGGTGCGAGAGCATCTGCGACTCGAGGAGCTGAGAGTGCGACTTGAGAGCACGAGCCTCTGCTTCGACGTGGTCGACCTGGCCGGCGACCGAGGCAAGGGCCTCGGCGGTGGCGGTGGCCTTGGCGCCGGTCTCCTGGACAGCCGACTCGACGAGGCGGACAGAGGAGCGGAGCTTGCGCGACTCGGAGGTGAGAGCATCGAGATCGGTGCGGATGGTGGCCTTGAACTCGGACTGAGTCTCGCGGAGAGCGTCAAGAGCGCGATCGAGGTCACGGGCCGACTTTGAGGAGAGGGCCGAGACCTTGTCGTCGAGGGCAGCGAGACCCGACGCGGTCTTTGCGGTCTGGGTAGCAGCGGACTTTTCGACAGTCATGACGTACGAGCGAAGGCGCTCGTACATGGTCTCCATGGCCGAGTTGAAGCCGAGCTTCATGGACGAGGCCTCATCGGCGAGGGTGTGGACGTCCTGGGCAAGAGCCGACGATGCGGTGGCGGCCTCGTCGCGGTAGGATTGGACCATGTCGCGGAGCTGGGCGAGCTCCGACTGAACGTTGGCCATGACCGGTGACGAGGCATCGGTATGGGCGTAGACGGTGTGGTAGGCGTCGACGCCGCCGGCCGACGAGGTGCCAAGGGTCATGGCCGTGGTGTTGGCGTTGGCTGTCGCCTGGGCATCGGACGCCGACTGGGCGACCGAGGCAAGGGTGGTCTGAAGCGAGGCAACCTGTGAGGTGAGCGACGAGATGTTGGACTCGAGGCGAGCGACAGCAGCAGCCGAGTTGGCGACGGTCGACTGCAGCTGCGACTGCGCGGCGGCGACGGCGGTGATCTCTGATCGGAGCGAGGCTGCGCGCTCGGCATCCTCCTTGGTTTGCAGCGCCACGAGCTCGATGCTCGTCTGATTGTCGCGGATGAGGCCGCGGATGGTGTGCGACTCGAGCCGGGCCGAGTCCTCGATGTTGGAGACGCGAGCGGCGACGGCGGCGACGGCCGAGTCGACACGACCGGTCTCGGCAGCAAGGGCGGCGATCTTGTCAAAGATCTGGCCATTTGTCGCGCCTTGGGTATCCTTGTTTGACGCCGCCGCAACCTGGATGCTCTTGAGCGCAGCGGCGTTGCGGGCGAGGTGCGAGCCGATCTCGGACGACGACTGGTCGAGCTCGGAGCGGACAGCAGTAAACTCGTCCTCGACGACCGAGGCCACCGAGGCCAGCGCGGAGCGGATGGTCTCGACCTGTCCGGCGAGGTGCTCAAAGGTCTTTTGCGTCTCATACTCGAGCTCGTACGTCTGCGATGCGTCTCGGCGAAGCCGCTGCGGGGTGGGGCGGGAGTGCGTCAGTCGAGAGCGGCCGTTATTTGGGCGGGCCGAGGAGGGGTTGGGTGGGAAGGGGGAGGGGCATGGCAGGGGTGCGTACCTTGACGGCTCTACGAAGGTCTGTCACCTGCGATGTAACCTCAACCTGGACGGGCGGAGGAGGTGCTGGTCGCAGCTTGGACAGCGATGCCAGTGTGGGAGATGAAAACTGCATCTGGCGGAGGGTGCCCAGTTGAGTGTTGCTGCTGCAACGGTGGGGGAGGGGGGGGGGGAGGGGGGGGTATGATAATTCCA